TAAATTTGGTTACTATGAAATTAGTGATTTTCTAAAATTTTTTATATACTACTTTTTACTTTTAAATATCTATATCCCACTATTTCGTATACGAATTTTTCTTTTAATATTATTTGTGCACAAAGTCTCAAAGGAAAATAAAGGTACCTTTTATACGTATTATTGATAATGACTTATCGACTGATTTTGCTCCTTTCCTCTGCTTGCTTGTTTTCCTTACTTCTTGTCTATCCTATCTCGATCCTATCTCGCTTACTTTCAGGAACCTGTCGACTACTCCGCTTTCTGGCTGGTCTCCTGTTCCCTGCTACTGCTACTATGATTTACCACCGGTCTCCTGGATCCTGCTACTGATATTCCTTTTATTTCTTTCCTCTTGGAACCTGCTATAGAAATTCTTCGTCCTTGTTGTCTTCCTGGACCTTGATTATGGGTACTCCGCTTATATTGTCTTTTCTTGGGTCACCTCTTCACCACTTGGTACTTTTATATTCTTGATCTCTTCTAATTGACTCTTTTTATACTCACTCGTTCATTAAATACTTATATTTGCTATGGGTTTTATTTTCTTTCCTCAACACCTGACGTTTTTACAAAATTTTTCTGTAACTAATCAATAATTGATTTTTTTTTCTCTTCTAAAGGCCTTTCCACATATCTCCTTTTTGGTTTTTTAATTTAACGTGCCATTTTCCTTTTGCAATTCAATTCACTTCACTTTATCCTTTGCACTTATACATCCTATTCTACTTTCTTTACAATCAATTTTGACTTATACTTCAAAATATTTCTTATTTTATAATATTCTTTGACATTTCTAATAACTACTGAATTCCTTGTGGATCCCACTTTAAATTTGACATATTTCTGACATATCTTTTTAATTAATGTACAAACTTGTCTTTAGATCTTTATATCTTTTATTAACTCCTACTCTACCTTATTTTATAACTATTTAATCAAACTCTGGTATTTCAACTTTTGTTAGATCTCTACCCATTCTGCATTTTAATTTATTTCAACTATATTTTTCTGATAATATCTTAGCCTATGCTCCAATTTAATAACATGATAATCAAATCAATAATAAATTTTGTAATAACCATTTCAACCATTCTCTCGTCAATCTGATTTCATCTCAATATTTATTCATTAAGGGCTTGTAAAACTATGGTTGAAAACTGGCAATATTACACATCAGTATGGTGTGGTAAAAGTTGGGTCAATTGTCGTCAACTGTGCTTCATGCGTATACCGTAAACATGAATGAACATCCAAGATACAAAGGAAAAATAATGACTGAAAAGCAATATGAAATGCGTATGAAATAGAATATGGATTGATGAGATACAAGTAAAATGTGCAAACTGAGAATCCATATGATAACTATCAAGAAGCTCAGTCTATGGTATTGAGACGTTGCCTTGTCAAATTGAAGATTATGACAGAACATCTATACTATTCGTTATGCAAAGAGATCCTTTCAATTTTTGTTTCAAATTGCTATTATATTACATTAGATCGCGAAAAATTTATTTAATATTAATTATTACTACATAATGTTTTTGACTAGAATAATTTTATAGTCTATAATCGAGCTATTCAAATATAGCGTGTCAGTAGAAGCGTTAAATACAGCGTACAGTGTTGCCATATTTCTTTTCATTGGATCAGATGTTTGTTCAAATTTGTCGAAACATTATCTATTCATTCCATTATCTCACACACGTTTTTGTTGTTTTAAAATGTTTATGTAATATTTAAT